ATTGATGAAATGTTCTTAGGCATTCGGATATAAACCTGTCAGATAGAAGCACTTCTCAAGGCCTTGCCTTGAAGAACAGCAGCAGGGATAGAGTGAGTAAGAGAGAGCTGTAGGAAAATGAGGTGAGGCGTCATGTAGTGCGGGGAAGTAGAGATGTCAGCCAAGAGCCAAGATAGGGATTGTAGGGAGGAGAGCGATTGTGTTTGATCTGCAGTCACCAGCACCTGCTCTGAAGATGCTCCTTTTAGTATTAGAACAAGAAATAGCCAGAGGTCAAGCCAGATGGACCTGAGGTTATTGAGGTTATCTGTGTCTTGTCAGTGGATAGTGATCTGTTGGTCATGTGCCATAGGGGCCTTCTGTTCAGAACTTTTATGTGTAGGATGACTTAAAAAAAATGGAATAACAAAAGAAGTGCCTCTCAGCATTATTGTTAAGTTTAGTTCTGTGTTTCTGGACCAGTGCAAATCATAAGAGTCACATAGTCCTGTGAGTTGAACTAAGGAGAGAAGTTAAAAAGAAAGAAGAGATATAATGAAATTTGTAACTTAGGCACTTCTGTTGCAGTTTCAGGCATACTACTGTGTATTTAAAAAGAGAGAAGGAAAAGGAACATTTTTAAATGCAGGTAGAACAGAATTTTGCCAGGGTGCAAAGTAAGACCCTTTGATACCTCTTGTGTCTTCCTCCATTTGAGATTTTCAAAATTCTTGCCCCTAATCACCCAGAGCAATTTAAGGTTAATTGTGTATTTGCTAGAAATAGTCTCAGTGGTTGTATACAGAGAGCTGTGTAGTGTGAATGAGACCCTCTGGGCACACAGACAGAAAGGACATATATATAAGGGTGAATTGTCACCCCTAAGAGTTCCAGTTTTCTGATAGTATTTATCATTCCATTTTTGATTGCAGTTCTCCCTTATATCCCTTCCTACTCTAAACACACCACGGAAAATCATCATCATCATCATCATCATCACCACCACCACCACCTATATCATCCATCATGTCCTGGGCAGTGTTGTAAAACCGTTATGGATATTTACTCATTAATTTTCACAATATCCACATATCACAATATGAGGTAGGTGTACTCGGATTATCGTCATTACATAGATGCAGATGCTAATACGCAGGGGTTATGTAACCTGCCCAAGACTACACAGCATGTGACAGCCATGTGTGTATGTGTGCACACATTTTCATGCCATACAGCTAAGGAAATATGAATTTTAAAATTGAAACGTTTTGGAAAAATCTTTGTTAAATTTCTCAAGATCTCATTTCTGGAGAAGCCTCCTTCCTACAATTCATAATGCAGTATCGCTGGGCATGCATATGTACTCAGAAAGATATATCAGGTGTACCATGAGGATCAGGAACTTTTTTTCCCATTCCTGGTATGTCTCCTTCTTCATAGTTTTTTTTTTTTAACTTTTAAACAAAAAACATGTAAAAAAATCCACAGAATATAAGTTCTATGAGAGAGACTTTATCTTATTTATTTATACACAATCAGCATTTAATAAATATGTCAAATATATAATACAATGAAACTTTTGTTCACAGCACCATTCTACTTATTTAATTTGTTAATTTTAGAAGATCACATTAACAGATGTTCTTATCTTGAACAATTTCCTTATTTCTAGGTTTAACCTTGTTTGATATTGATGTGTTAGTCTTTTAATATAATACTGGATTCTAGTGCCTACTATCATTAGAATTTATACATCTGTGATCATAAAGGGATTGGTTTAGTTCTCTCTTCCCTCCTTTGTTTTTGCCTTCTTGACATTGTAACCTTAAAGAAGGAACGAGAAGCATGCTGTCTTTTTCTTTGCTCTGGAGTAATTTTTATCTATTAGTTGTTGAAGGTTTGGAAAATTTTCCATTAAAACCATCTGCACTTAGTCACCTTTTTAGGTATAGCTCTTTAATTCCTGTTTCTTCTAGAACCAAATTTAATAACTCATGTTTTTTGAAAGAGATAAGTTTTATTTAGATATCAAATGTATTGATTTTAATGATGTTTATAATACTGATGAATTTATAGTACTATATGTTTATAGTATGTTTTAAGATCTCCACATTTTCATTTATGTCATTTTTCTCATTTTTAATATTGATTACATCTTGGCAAAGCCCTTCACTTAAAAACAAATCATACTTGCCAAAGATTTGTTTGTTTTATTGGGCTTTTCAAAGAAGTTGGTTTTTGGTTAATTGATCAAACCTGTTATTTTCTAATTTTTCTGTTCAGTTAATTCTTACTACTGACTACCTGAACCCCTTCTATCTTCTTTGGGTCTCTTTCTTATTTGGTATTCTCTAACTTGAATTTACTGTTGTTTTATCCATTTTCAGTTATTCTTGTGTTAAAATTAATGTACCTAAAAATCTAAATTTTCCTGTTGCTATACACTATATACATTTGTACCTAAATGTTTCCAGTGCTTTGAAATGTATATAGTATCTTATTATCATTCATTTTAAATGATTTAAACAGTTTAGGTTAAAATTTTCAATTTCTAATAAAATAGATTTTCCTTTTCATTCTTTTCTCATTCCCTCCCATTGACTGCTTTTCTTCCTTCCTTTTTCTGCTGCCACTGACCTTGAACTACCATTGATTGGCAGAAACATTACTCTTTTCTTCTAAGAAATAAAAAAAAATGCACTCAAACTATGATTGAGTGCTTTTCTGTAATTCAGATTTTTTGCTCTATGCTTATTGAGAGAGACTTATAGGTTTTAATTCTGGCACTTTTAATAAAATCTTACCTGAAATTTTCAATGAATGGTTTCTGGGTAACAATTACATCTCATCTTTTCATCTTTCTTCCTCAAGTGGTCCATAAGTTGGTTGTTGATGATTCATTCCACCGGGTAATAACTGCAAATTAAGCAAAATAAAAAGTTTGCTCAAACAAAGGCCATGGCAATTATATTTCAACTACTGCCTGGGTAATAGGAAATTAATGCAATGATTCCAATGATAGAGATAAAAAGAATTGTATGCCTTGTAGTTGGTAAAATACAGAATACTGTGATGTTAATTTTATTTAGTTGTAGGGAGAGATTATAATACGTCTTCTGCTTTCTAGAAAGTTTTGAGACTTTCTCTGTGTCTAATGTATTGTCAAGTTTTTGTGAGTATGCCATTTGTGTTTCAAAAGCATATGTAGAATGAGTTTATTGGGCACAAAACTAAACATTTTTAACTGTATTACTCATATCCTTTATAGCCTTGTTTTTATTTTTAATTTTTTATCAGTTCCATTTGTTGACTTTTAAAAGAAGGAAGCTAAACCCTTCAAGATTGTGTGAAAGTTTTAGTTTCTTCTTTTATCAGTTTTTGATTTATATTGATGTGTCATGTTGCTAAGTACATAAGTGTTTAATACATTTTCCTTGAATCGTATTATGTCTAATACTTACATTGATATACAGATTCTCTTTTATTGTTATTTACCAGTACAAATGACATAAAATATAAATAATGTAAATGTGCAATATATAAATATGATATATATCATATGATATCATATGTAATTATATATCATATATGATAATAAATATAATAATATAATATATCATTCATTATTTTTTTTAGATTTTCTGTTATTTTTTGTTTATTATATTCAGTTTGTATCTTGGAAAGAATGTGAATTTGATTTTGTCTTGTAAACTGCAAATTTACATTTTAATAAGAATTTTAATAAGTCATGGATATATAATTATTATCATGACTGGATACACTCTCTGTTTACCATTTTACTTGTTGTGTGTGAAGCAATGGGCAAATTACAGTTCTCCCTTAATGGATCTTACTGTATAATGGGCAGTATCTTAAATAACACTGTTTTTCTGTGTATCATATTACAGACAAAAAAATGCTTTCTCACATACTATATATTCTTCCATAAGCTCTGATATGGTGTCAGCCTTATTTGAAAGGACAAAGAGATTAATTATATGGAGTTACAAACTGGCAGTCAGGTTCAGAAATCATTTGTCAATTCATTAAATGTGTAATTTGAATTTATCAAAAACTTATAATTCCTGCGTAATTGAAGCCTGGTAATGGAGCACAAAGAATTATGATCACTGGCTTTTAAAGAATAATTAAATGTTTCAGTATTAAAAACCTATAGTATCCTCCAGTAGGATTAGAAAAATGTAAATAGCAACTCTACAGGTTTTTTCAAAGTTTTAGGTAGCTCATAATATAAGCAGAAAAGTATTAAGAAAAAAATATATAATTGTGTAAAATTTGAACTTGGAATATTTGGAAGAATAATAGCTTAAGTTGCTATCTAGAGATATTCCTTTTAAGTTATATCTGGATGTATTTGTCTTAATTTATAATTTTGAAAGTATTTGTATTGATTTTTAAATCAAATCTTTATAAAGTAAATGTTTTCTCAAATATATTTAGGAGTTCTGAGAATCTGAAAATTATTTTTTAATGAATATAGTCATGAAAAATTTAAATAAATCCAATGATTAATTTTACTAGAATAATTTGTATTATTTTCATCTCATATTAAATAAATAATCAAAACCTGCATTTACACTTGGAAAATACAATATAACTGAAATTGTAATTGGATTGGCTAGTTGTGTGTGTGTGTGTGTATGTGCTTTAGTTTATTTAAGTGAAGATATATATCTTTTAGTTGAGTTCCTTTTTTAAGTTGAGATATATATTCAATGAGGAGAAAATTCGGCATTTAATGAATTAACAAATTGTGGACATCAGTTCCTTCTAATACACAGGTATGTTTAACATAAGACAAAGCCTAGAGGTAAAGATAATAATTCGATAGTGGTTTAAAAAGGAGTCGGAGGAGCATGCAACTGCATAACTAAAAAATCCACCCACTTGTCTTATATTTGCTTTGTTCAGAAAGTAATGGTGACTTTGAAGTAGAAAAATATTGATTCATTGTGTTATAGCCAGAGGGATGTTAATACATTTTCCCTTTTTTCTTCTAGCACACTGATTTATGTCAGTACATGGACAAACACCCTGGGGGACTGCATCCAGATAATGTGAAGGTAGGAAAAGATCTTTCTAAATCAAGAGTTAGCATTCTTCCTGTGCATTTTTTGAGCAAAAATCTAATCTCTTACCATAACTTAAAATAAATTGTCTAAAGAGAAGTAATTGCATTCATTTAGTGATTGGAAGGCAAGCTTTAACATTAAATATTTTCATTGAAATATTATTATTTAGACCTTATCCTAATTTTTTCTTCATGGAGAAACCTTTGCCAATAATGAGTGAGATCCACTGGAATCCTAGCATAACACTGTTCTCGGGAGAGGAGAATCTGATAGCTCTAGCTTGGAACTCTATACTGAAGTCCTAATTGGTTTCAATATACAGTATTATTATGATCCAAAATAGTGTTATGTTGAGTTTACAGTACATATTTTCTCATTTGTTTATACAAACAGATAAAAAGTGGTTTTTCCTACTGCTTTCCTTCATTTCTTTTTTATCAGAAATTAGATTTCTGTGTGTAAAAGAACAAGGTTTTTCTAGGATTTGACCTAGCAACCATGTGGGAAATTGTCCCAAAATTTCAAGCTTAAAACAGGAGACTCTTGGCATATGTTAAGGAGTTAGAAGATGCCAAAGTTTATATGAAGGCTTAATGATGTGCTTTCGTTTCATTATTCCAGTGACTATGTTTCATGATCCTGAGAACCAATTTAGCACTTTAAATGTATTTGAAGTAAAATTATTTGTCTCCATTTCTTTCCATTCATTATCTACACCACTCTTGCAATGTGGCATGCTTTTTCTTTTGTGCTTTTCCCTTTGCTTGTAGAGGTATATTTGAACATATGGTATTATCTGGGCTTACTTCTTTTTGCTGTATAGAAATAATATATATATATATATATAAGTGTATGAATTTTTTTCACTTAAAAATATGTCATGGATATCCTTTCATCATTGCATCTCTATGTAGTTCAGTCTTCCTAATAACTGCGTATTATTTCATACTATGAATACACCATAATTTGAAACTGTTCCTTATTCATGGGTTTTTGGGTTGTTTTCAGTATGTTTCTATTAAAAATGATTCTGGAGTGGATGTTAGTGTAAACCTTTCTACTTGATTTCTTTTGGATATCTAGTTATTGGGTTTCTTTATTAAGCTAGAGACGTGGTTTCAGTTTTAATGAATTTAGCTGGGATGTTTGCCCACAAGGTTGTAAATTATAGAAAGACTGTTTTTCTCTACACTCCTAGGACTGACTAACCAGTCATTTAAATTTTTGCCATTCAGATGATTAAAAATGAAATGTCTTTTACATTGGCATTTTCTTGACTGCTAGTGGTGTTGAACATCTTTTCATATGTTTCTTGACCATTTGTAATTCTGCTATTGTAAGTTGCCTGTTCTTATATATTGTTTATTTTTCTACTTGGTTTTTTCCCTCAATATATTGAAAGTACTTTTTAATGTTTGTGGCATTAATAATGAGGGGTTTCATGGTGTCAGTTATGTTGTACAATTTTAAAATTTAGGAACTTGTAGGAATTCTGATAAAACATTCGTTTTATAATAAATAATAGAATCAATAGGTGCTTATAGTAATTGTTATTTTTTTCATTTACCTTATTTTTGTTGCTGTGGTGTTTTGTTTTATTTAGATTTATTTTAAATTTTTTGACTATTCATTTTTCTTAAAAATGTATATTCACTGAAATAGTTTTTTAGTGGTTAGATCAGGCAAGAAATTTTAACAGATGAAGAGATTTGTTTTATTAATCTTGTTCGTGTTCAAGTTTAACTTTAAACATTAGTATTATAGCATGAACATAATTTTTTTTTTTACATTAAAGCATCGCACATTGTCTCATTTATACATTTAATGTTCTCTTCTTAGGGTCGATTGAGTTCAAGCGCAGTAATATGGTGCGTCCGTAGTTCTGTTTTCCAGTTTAGTCCCGGGAATCTATAGAGAGCCCAGCTAGTGGAAGCCCAGGGGAAATCAGCAGATACTGTGAGCCAACTTTGACTTCCTGACTTTCAAATTCAGTGACTGGATTGAGATTAAAGAGATTAAAGAGCCTTTTCAAAGAACCATGGCATCATTGGATTTCTGTTATCCTTGTTTGGTATTCTCACCAACATTGTGTATCGTTAGTTATGGGCAAGTATTGGTGGAAAATTTTGTTGGTGAAATAAGGAAAGTTCATTCCATGAAGCATCACCATGTTCAGTGTCCTTAAGCCAGTAACCATGGTGATTTTTGTAGCATTTATAAGTTCTGCTTCTTCCATTATATTTTATGTTTCCTTCATCTCTTAATGGTCATGGGGAAATTGGGCTTCTAGGTTGACAATTTTCAGCCACTAAGCTGCACTCCTTGAAATTGTGTCTCAACAGCTCTTACTTACGTTTTGCAAGCTTTTCTTTCACCCTATGATCATGCATCATACTTCAGATACCTAGTATTTGCTACCCATTTCACGTCCAGGTTGTACTGTGGCAGTAAACAAGGTTTATTACTGCAAGAGTTGGTGCCTCCTAAGGAGTGGTGGAAATGTAACAGTGTATGAGATGTGCAGTCAGCATAGAAATAGTGTCACACAAACTAACACACTATTGTAAATCAACTGTACTTTGATTTTAAAAATGAACGAATGTCACAGAAATTAGGTATGATACCAACGAGTCTAGATGAGTCATATAGAGGAGGCACTCCTCTCACTCAGAAGTTAACATGGTTACAGATTGATGCCCTGCTACATTTTTACCTCCAGAAGTGCATGATGTGATCTACCTCTTCTTATACTTTTTTGGATAACTGAAAGACGGCAATAGATACTGATATATAAGCATCCCTTTCCCTGTAGCTGTTGAAATACTGGCTCTTTGAGGATTTGCTAAAATATACTGGGTCATCTCAATTCTTAAAGTATTTAAGGGTATAAGAAACTTTAATAGTCATTGAAGAGTTCTTCATATTAGGCTCCACAACAGAGTCATCTATGAAACTTACATATATATGTGTGTGTATATGTATATGAATATATGCACACACACTACACACACACACACACACACATTCTCTTTTCATTTCCCAGAAACAGAATCAAATTTTTAAAATCACTGTATATAGGAAATGGTGGGCATTTGCTCAAATCAGAGCTGAGAGCCCAGGGTGCTTCCCACGACCCACAGTGTCCCCTTGCTTTTCCCTTGGCCCAGCTTAGAGGACACATACACTTGCGGGTGATACTGGCTTGTTGCTCTCTCACAGCCTTACAGCCTGCCTGCCTCCACTGCTCCTCAGTCGGCCGACAAGGTGGTCATGGTGGGGTGTCCAAGAGTATGGGAGGGACTGGGCAAGTAGAAGGGAGTATGGGAGAGCATGGGAGACAGGACCCAGACTGTGGTGCTTCAAAAAACTGGTAGAAAAGCTAGAAAACTTTCAGCATCTTCTGTGGAGAATCTGATCAGCCCAAGAGCTAAAGAATCCAGATGACTTTACAGTGACGAACCCAATTGACAAATCAGTAACTTGGAGGAAGCAAAGTTTCTTGACTTAGCCAGAGAGAAAAAGAAAGAAAATGCAAAAAAAAAACCAAAAAACCCTGCTAATATTATTCTCAAAGAGGTGAAAGAATATAGTACACCTATAAAACAGGAATAATGTTATTTTTAAAAAGAAGGGCTTAGTAAACATGAAGAAGCTTTGGAAATTTAAAATGTGGTGGCAGACATAAAAATCAACAACAATAAAAAAGGATGAAAAATAGAGTTGAATTTTGCCAGAAAATAAAGCATAAAATAAAAACCTGACAACTGAGAAAGAAAGTATCAAAAATTAGAAGTCCAGCCCAGGGCATCCAGCATCTGAGTAATCGGAGAAAATAGAGAGGAGGGAATCATTGAAGTAATCATCATTAACCTATACTTCATCCACATGTGAAAGATGTGAACTTCAAGATTAAGAGGATCCATTAAGTGCCCAGAACAATTAATGAAAATAGACTAGCAATAACATTTATCATTGCAAAATTTCAGAATGCTGGTTTCAAAGTAAAAAATTCCTACAAAAGGGAAACAGGTTACTACAAAGGCTCAAGAATTACAGTGGTGTTAGACTTCAGCAGCATCACTGGAGGGGAGATGGAAGAGGAGCAATGACTGGGAAATTCTGATGTAAAGTTATTTTCAACCTGGTATTATATATAAACTCTCAACGAAGTGTGAACGTAGAATAATTATTTTCAGATGCTCAGGAAGTTGAACTTTTTGCCTACCTTGCATCATTTCTCAGGAAGCTACTTGAAGATGTACTCCACTAGAACTCAGAGAATAAACCAAGGCAGAAAAGAAAAAGAAACCGGGTAATGGAGGCCACCACAAGAGAAAGATGGAGATCCTTAAGACAGTGGTATAAAGAATCCCAGAATAACAGCAGTGCATCAGGCTAGAAGAGTAACCCATCTGTCTGATTGGAGAAGGTCAGAAGGCTCCATGAGAGATTTCTTAAAAGATAAAGTTGTTAGATAGAATACCTAATGTGTTTGAACAGATTTACAAGATGAAAGAGGAGTGTGGTGTTGAATCAGTGGGAAACCAAAGAAAACTAAACAAAGGAAACAAACAACCCAAAAAAAAAAAAAACTCGATCATGCTAACACCAGGAAAAACACATTGTGCAGGGAAAAAAGTCCTCACACTAAACTTAATGGCTCAACTGTAAATAACATTTATATGATAATAATAGTTTAAACATTTAATGTTGATATAGTTAAAAAAGAAAAACACCTCTTTAAGTGATTCTTCTGTAGCCAAGCTCATTCCAGGATCAGTATCCTAAAATAGTCATCCATTTCAGCTGCCACATTTTATATAAAATAAAGATCAGGATCACTGAGATTGAGAACTTGTCAAAGAGCATATTGGTTCTTTGTCCAGTGTTCTTTTCCCTACACTGCATGATTCATACATTAAATTACTGTAATTAGCTTATTGTTTGTGACTTTATATGCACTCAGTCACATAGGTTTATCATCATTTTTA